TCTACATAATGATTTTCTTTGACTGAACAAATTTTAGGACTTTTTAATTATTAGAGTTATTTTTCAGATTAGTTTACCAAAAATATTTCAATTGTTTCAATTTCATTTTCCCGCCTCCAAGTTGTGTTTGGAAATGTAATTATATACAAAATTTTTCATGAATTTTTTGTACTTTCTATTTTACGGTTCATATATTTTAAGATTTGCAACTTTAATTTGATAATTACTACTAATTTGATAGGTAATTTTTTTCTTTTTGCAGGAATTGCAAGCACTATTGCTGAGAAGGAGTTTTTGAATTTTATATTCATTTATAATTTGTTTTTATGGTGGTTGTATTTTCTTTTATTTAATTTTTATTTGTTGTTCGTTAATTTATTTCAAGATACTATGCATAACAAAATAAATAATATACTGAGCAGACTAATTAATTGTTTAAAAAAATAAGTAAACATTTTCGATAACTCCAATTAATGGCAGAATTGTTTTGTTTCCATGTTTATGCATTTATTCACTCCCAAAATTGGGCTGTTCTTGAATGAAGAAAATAAAAAACGAAAAATAAATAAAATGTAACTGAAATGGGCGGGAAATGAAAAAAGTGCCAGCTAGGTAAAATTAAATAGGTTTTCTTTAATGTTTTGAGCTAGTAATTATATATATATAGATTTGTGACTTATTTTGATAGTGCGTTATGTAAGAACTAGTACGTATCCCGTGCGATGCACGGGACAGAGATATTAAATGAGTTATTTTCACATCATCGTCCGTTTAAGTCTAAAAAATAATAGGGTTATAATCAATTTTCTACCTCTTAATCAACGTCAAGTCTAAAAAACAATAGGATTATTATAAGTTTTTTTCCATATCTTTTAACCAGCGTTTTTTTTTAGCCAAAATATTAAATATGAGCATGTTAGGGCTAGCTTGTAAAATAACTAATATATTATCTCACTAAAACATTTATACTAATAAAAATTTAATTTTAGCATATAAATTTATCCCTTGATATAAGAAAAAGTAACAATTTTACTACTATATAATATTTAATTATTATTTTATTATACAATAAAAAGAAATACTGTTAAATAGTGTAGTAGAATTGTTATAAAATTATATGAATTATTTTTTTTACAATATGGATTTAATATCTTTTTATGATTTGATAATATAACTATAATATATTCTTAATGATATAATAGTATGAGATACGGATTTACATAATACTATGGATTTATTCCTTAATGTTAAGATATTGAATTAGGTAATATATGATTCACTAATTTGTAATCTGTCTCTTTTTATATTGAAAATAATCATGTGATTGAGTAGAGATAACAATTATCTATAAATTCCTTCATTTAAGGAATAATTTTTAAATTAGTCCAAGTGTTGAATGCAGCCCGATTTTTTTGTAACTAAAATGAGAAGTGATTTTGAATTTCAAATTTTTACTTCAAAACCACACGTAAATTTGGATGCAGATTTTATTAAAAATAAAATGAGAAGAAATTTTGAATTTCATATTCACTTCAATATATGTCGAAATTTTCAAAAATGAATTTAAAAAAACCCATAATTTTAGGGCATTTAATATTACCCTATTTTATGATTTAAAATATTTAAAACTTTCTAAGGGGGGTGTATTTAATTAGGATTTTTAAGGACTTTTTAAGACTTTAAAAATCCTGGTGTATTCAATTTAGATTTGTTAAGACTTTTTAAAACTTTTAAAAATCCTAGAGTATTCAATTGGGATTTTCAAAAGTCTTACAAAATCCTGAAGTATTTTAATTTTTTTGGCACTAGGATTTATTAAGACTTTTTAAGATTTAGTGGGATTTCTAAACAAAAAACCTTATATGAAATCCCACTTCAAATCTTACCTCCGGACTTGAGATTTCATAGAATTCTTCCAAAATCTGAAAATCCTAGAAAGTCTCAAATCTCGAAAAGTCTTAAAATGTCACTTAAATTCCGAATTGAATACACCCCCCTAAATATGGTGTGCAATTAATTATGAAATGACTTTCTTCCTACTAATTCTAGTAAATGGGATGACTTTTTATATAAATATATACGTCTCCAATAGTTCATAAATTGTTGTTGCCAGTTAATATCTTATACTAAATATTACTGTAATTTCTCTTTTTTCTCTTGAGTCTTACCAATTAATATTCTATAAGTATTCAAATATTCCACAATTAACACGAAACGTTTTTTTTTTTTAATTTTCCTTACACATTTCAAAATCAACATTGTGCGACCAAAGATGATCTCATATTCCATTTGTTTGAAACAATTGTAATAACGGTGACATACAATATAAGACTTTTTATTTCTTTATTTTTTAAGTTGAAATATTTGGTATATAATTATAAATGAAGTATAACATAAATTAATAAAAAAATAATAAAAAATCACACGATTGCAAGATGATCAGATAATATACACGATCTATGTAGTAATGTTAAAAGATTGTCGAAATGGAAATACGAAAATTATCTGAAAGCTCAATTTTCATTTCATTATGCCTCATACTTACATGAACTAGTACGTACCCCGTACGATGCACGGAACAAAGATATTAAATGAGTTATTTTCACACCATTGTCTCTAAAAAATGATAGGGTTATTATTTATTTTCTACCTCTTTTAATCAACGTTAAGTCTAAAAAACAATAGGGTTATTATAAGTTTTTTTCCACATCTTTTAACCAATGTTGTTTTTTTAGCTAGAACATTAAATATGAGCATGTTAGGGCAAGCTTGTAAAATAATTAATATACTATCTCATTAAAATATTTATACTAATAAAAATTTAATTTTAGCATATAAATTTATCACTCGATATAAGAAAAAGTAATAGTTTTACTTCTTGTTGTTCACTATATAACATTTAATTATTATTTTATTTTATAATAAAAAAATACTGTTAACTAGTGTAGTAGAATTGTTATAAAATTATATGAATTATTTTTTTACAATATGGATTTAGTATCTTTTTATGATTTGATAATATAACTATAATATATTCTTAATGATACAATCTGAAATCGGATTACAAAATTTCAATACATAAATAATAAAATTTTTGGTAAAGAGATAAGAAGGAAATTTCAATTTCAATCTACAAAAAGTTTAAAACGATTTTATGGGATTTTGTTGACTAAACGGATTGTATGGGATAAAACAAATAGAAGATGTGAAAGAAATTTCAAATATACAAAAAATTAAAGCCGATTTTGTGGGATTTTTTCGCAGGAAAACTGATTGTATGGGAATAGTAATAGCATTAATTGAATCGCATAACATTAATTTCAATATAAAATAACTAGTGAGAATCTCGTGCGATGCACGAGTTTCTGTACTTTAGAACTTTTTTTTTTAACTTTACTTTCACAATATATTAGCATGCTGACCTGTTTATATTATTATAAATAATATTTTAACATATATATTTATTTTTTAATACAAAATAATAATAATTTTATATATTTTGGTTCATCATAATACTCAATTATTAATCTATCAAAAAATCTATTATCATATAATGTCATTATTATTTATAACACTTGTAGAAGTAATATATTTGTTATATAATGATAAATATGTAATGTATATTAATATTATTTATTGATGTAATTAATTTAAAAAGATATAAGCAAATTTAATGGTTGATAGGAATGTGATTATATGTAAGTTGAGATAAAATGAAATGTATCAAAAAAATCTGCTTATGATATTTTCCTTTAAATGTTTGAATGAACTTGAATTTCAAATTACAAATCAACCTTCAGTTATTCAAATAATTTTAAAAAAGTTACCTATTATAATAAAATGTACGTGACAATATATTATAAATATACATGACGTTAGTAATGTTATGAATCTTTAAGTTCCTAAAATATATGTTGTTTAGATATGAAACTAATTAACTTATATGTCAAGATAATATATATAAATATATGTATTGTACGAAATATACACGTGACAAGTTATTATATTTGTTTATATATTGTTTGTATGTTTGTTTGTATTGTTTATTATATTTGTATATAAATATATTGTTTATATATTTGTATGTATTGTACAAAAAATTGTTATATTTGTTTATATATTGTTTAGATATGAAACTAATTAACTTATATGTTAAGATAACATATAAAAATATATATTGTATGTAATCTTAAACGCGTTTGCTAAATTTTTTCCCTAAAAAATTCAAAATACATTTAGGCATGTTTTGTTTGAAGTTTGAAATTTAAATATGCATCTATATAACAAATCTCACGATTTATGCTAGCATTAAATGCTACTTGTTTTTTTATTAAAAAAATAAAAAAAATACCAAAAATAGAATGTAATTAATATTTTCTATTTTTTTTCTTACTATTTTTTAAAAATGTTAATTCTTATTATATATATATATATAGATTAAATAAAATACATGCTAGAAATAATAATAACATTAATTGTAGTTGACTTTTTTGGATAATATTTGTAGTAAATATGATCCTTTTATATAAATATTGATTAGAGAATATCTCAATTTATAGACTTAGATCATGCATCCTAGTTTCAAAACGACGTCGCACAGGACTAAAGATCCGACCCAACAAACTAAGGTAAAACGTCACCGTTTTGCTAAATGGAAAATGTCAGACTAAAACGCACTTTACGCCAAAATCAGAAAAAACAACTTCAGTTATCTCATAATATTAAGAATTTTGACTTGCTACTCAAGCTACACAAAATCTCGAAAAAATGACCAAGACTAGGACTCCTTTTAATCCCACGTATATATTTGACTTTTCCTACACTCCCATTCTCAAACTAACCCGCCGCCACGCTACACATACCGCTGCACCGCCGCCGCCGCCGCCGCTCCACGACGACCCAACTCAGGTAATTAATTAATTTTCAATTATGTAGAAGAGTAATTTGATTGAAACAATTTTACCTCTATATGATTATTGAAACTACGTTCTTGTTTTGATATGCATATGCGTAGCGTAAAACACATCATGTTGCTGTCTAAAATCTTGCTTCGTGCCCCGAGGCACGTCGGCCCCCGCGCTTTCCACACCGACACAGGCTACGGCCTCCTCTTCAAAAAGAACCAAACCGCTTTCTCGATGGGCGTCCGTGACGGACGAGTCGAGACCACCGAGACGAGCCCCCAACCGACGAGCGGCGCGCGCACCGACTGCTCGGAAATGTGCCTCGCGTTCAAGCCCGGCCACTCGTCTAACAAGGTTCGTCTCACGCGCCACCCGTCAGGCGAGACTGTCGACCTCCCGCCACTCGCCCGCCACTCGAAAGTCACGCAAATGGAGTCGTGGGGAGCGGCGGGCCAAAAAATGGTCGTCTACTTTCCGCCCGACCCATACGCGGTCGAGAATAAGGAGGAGTTTCATATAATAACTGTCGGCGACGAGTCGTGGAGAGTCGTGCTTTCCGAGCCTAGGGTTTCGAAGTTTGCTCCGGCTCTGATAACCGAGGGCTTCGTGCATTGGAGCACGAAAGGCGACAAGGTGTTGAGCATGAATTTGGAGACGGAGGCTTTCACGGAGAGTCCAGGGCCCGCGTGTACTGACGGAGAGAAAATTGTTCGGAACACTTATTTGTCGACGGGAAGGTATTTGTCGTTGTTGCGACAATGTGATGAGCTTATGTGGGAGGTTTGGGAGATGAATCCCGAGACTTTTGCGTGGAAAAAGACGGGAGATTTTTCGTTGGTTGATCGCGAGAGCGAATTCGAATCTACGGATTCGGGTTCGGATGGGCCAATAATCCCGATTGGGTGGGTTAAGTACTTGGAGGTGTTGGTCCTATGCCCGAACATGCGTGGGAAGTCGATTTTGGTCTATGATCTCGTCACTCGAGAAATGAAGAAAATCGAGCTAGCGAATAGTGTTTGTTATTACAACATACACACCCATAAGGTCTAGTGTTCACAATGCACCATTTTTTTTTTTTTGTTGATTTCTTTGATGTCAAGTAGTATGTTTTTGAGACAAGTTGGTCCATTGAAGTTTGTTTCGGATTTTAGTTTTGCAATCACACCAGAACCAATTACTTACTAATTTAGTTTGTCTGCCAATACAGAAAGATTGTGGGATGGAGTTTATTAGTATTAACCTGTAATATGCTTCTGCTCAACCTGTAGTTTGTTGTGGTCCAAAATCCAAATCAAGTTTTGTGCCAGTTTAATGAGGGTGCAATCCTTATGAGAACCTTTTTGAAAAATAGCAGTATATGGTTAGCTAGCCAAGTGCCACACTATGCTTACCAATATATACGAGTCGAGCGGTATATATGTTCTGTTCAATTTTTAACTTTAGAATTTTGGGGTTTTATGTTTGGTGTAGAGTTTATCGAACAGGACGAGCCGATTTATTTATTAGACGACCATGACTTCTAACATGAGATATTTGATTCGAATAACACATCATCTATACGCGATTACAAGAGTAAGAATCCGAACATGAAGTACTCGACATAACTCGAATAGCATCTCTAAGAAGAAACTACGCATAAAAATATATATGTTTTTTTGAATTACACACAATTCACAAAGTTAAATGAGTGAATATATTATTTAAAATTCAACTATTATAGGAATCGAATTGAAAAAAATTCATAATTTGAATAAGTCACATATTATTTAAAATTCAACTATTATTGCAACCGAGATAAAAAAAAATCACAATTTGAATACATATTATTCTAGTGGAATGTTCGAACAATCAAATTATAAGAAAATTCAATGGATGATGGGCGGCCCATCCGGATAAGGCCCGATCCAGATGGGTCGGGTCGCGGGTCGCCGTTCTATTTAGGATTAGGATGCCTACGTCAGTACGTCTATTCGATTTCTCAACTGCTATTCACCGCCCCCCTTTTACTTGTCACCGCCCCCCCAATTACTCTTTTGCCCTTAACCTTTTTTTGGATTTCATCTCTCTAAACTTTATCTCTCTAAATTTTCCGAACTTCAACGAACGATTCGAGCATAAAAAAAAATCCGAAAAAATGTCGAAAAAATTCTACGGCCTCGGCAAAGGATTCTTCTCCGACAAGGTATTTTTTTTTTTTTTTTTCGCC